AGGTACTCTCAACGTACTCTCAACGGTAAATTAATAGAATTAGTTGATATTATGATTCATAGAAAGATTAATATCTTATGTATTCAAAAAAATAAATGGGTTGGAGAAAAGGCTAAGGAGATTAATAATTTAGGTTTTAACTTTGGTTTTCTAGTAAGAGTAACACTAGAAATGGTGTAGGTGTAATTATAGATAAGAGTTTGAAAGAAAATGTTGTAAAAATTAATAGAGTTGGAGATAGAATTATAGCCCTTAAGATTATCATTGATACTAAGATTTTTAATATTACAAATGCTTATGCTCCTCAAGTAGATTTAGATACAGGGTTTAAAAATAAATTTTTGAATGACTTAGAAGACTTAAGACAAATGATACCTCTTGAAGAAAGAATTTTTATTGGAGAAGATTTAAATGGACATGTCGTTAGAGTGGTAAAAGAATTTAGAAATATTCATGGTGGCTACGGTTTTGGAGTGACTAATGAATAAAGTAGAGCTATTTTAGATTTTTTTTTAGTGTACGATTTTGTTATTACTAACACTTTATTCAAGAAAAGAGATGAGCATCTTATTACTTATAAGAATGGATCTAATAAAACACAAATTGATTATTTTCTTATGAGAAGAAGAGATCGTCGAGAGTGTAAAGATTGTAAAGTCATTCTAAGTGAAAATTAAGTACCCAACATCGTTTATTAATTCTAGATTTTAAGATGAAGAGTTGTAAAATAAAGAATATTATGACTCATCATCGTAGAATTAGATGAGGGAACCTAAAAGACACAAATAAAATTATTTTTATGAATAAAATTTAAGATTTCAAATTTTGGGATGTTCATGATGAAACAAATGTTATGTGGGATCAAGTAACAAACACTATTAGAAAAATAGCAAAAGATGTACTTGGAGAATCAAATGAAAATGTTTCTTTAAATAAAAATAGATGATGGTGGAATAATAATGTACAAGAAAAAATAAAATATAATAAGTTATGTTAAAAAAATTGGTTTAAATGTAAAAACTAGAGAACTGAGAAAAATATCAAATGACCCGCAGGGAGTCTAAGATAATAATATGTGATGCTACAAATTCTACTTTTAATGATCTATTAGTGATTTTTGTAATAGATTAGATACAAAGAATGGTAAAAAATATATGTATAAACTAGCCAAACAAAGAGAAATGAGATATAAAGATTTAACTCAAGTAAAGTGTATTAATGATGAAAATAAAAAAGTATTTTTCTTAGAAAAGATATTCAACATATGTGGGTGAATTATTTTGATAAACTTTTTAATGAAGTTTCTGAAAATTTGATCAACCTTACTGGTCTTAATATCATTAATAATAATAAAGCATTTCATTTTTACTGTCACATTAGTAAAAAAGAAGTTGAGGAGGCTTTAAAGAAAACCAAGGGTGGAAAGTCTGTAGAAGTCTGTAGTGGGTGGAAAGTCTGTAGTACCTGATGATATCACAATTGAAGTATGGAAATATTTAGGAGATTTGGGAGTTTCTTGGCTTAATAAACTCCTTATAATTATTTTAAGAACTAAAAAGATGCCTTAGGAGTGGAGGAAAAGTATTTTGGTTCTCATTTTTAAGAATAAAGGGGATGCACAAAAGTGTGCAAATTATAGAGGAATTAAGTTGATGTGTCATACTTTAAAATTATGGGAGAGGGTAATTGAACATAGGTTAAGACGTATTACAAAGATTTCTCATAATCAATTTGTATTTATGTTGGGCAAGTTTACTATGGAAGCTATACATTATTGAGAAGTTTGATGGAGAAGTTCAGAGATAATAAGGAGAATCTACATTTGATTTTTATTGATTTAGAAAAATCTTACGATAAGGTTCCAAGAGATGTGCTTTGGAGAGTTCTTGAGAAGAAAGGTGTTGATACGACTTATATTCAAGTCATTAAAGATATGTATACTCGAGCAGTTAGTTGTGCTCGAACTGAAGGAGGGTTGACCAAATATTTTCCTATTTTTGTTGGATTACATCAAGGATCGACTTTAATCCCATATCTTTTTGCTTTAGTTATTGATGGTCATACTGGACATTTACAGGAGGATGTACTTTGGTGTATTCTTTTTGTTGATGATATCCTTCTTGTGGATAACACGAGAGAAAAAGCCCTCCGCAAAAACTTGAATTGTGGAAGTCTACATTGGAGTCTAAAGACCTTGGAGTCTAAAGACCTTCATCTAAAGACCTTCATTTGAGTAGAACTAAATTGAATACATGGAATGTAATTGTAGTTGTAGTAACTCTAGTGATAGAAGTGTAAATTTGGGTGATCAAATTATTAAAAGGTGTGAACGATTTAGATATATCGGGTTTGTTGTTCAAAACGATGGTGATATAGATGGGGATGCTAATAGTAGAATTCAAGTTGGTTGGTTGAAGTGGAGGAATGCTTCGGGGCTTTTTTGTGATAGAAAAGTATCGCTTATACTGAAAGGAAATTTTTATAAGAAGGTGGTGAGACCTACAATGCTCTATGGAGCTGAATGTTCGCCTTTAAAAGAGAAGCATAATACTAAGTTAAGTATTGCTGAGATGAGAATGAATAGGTTGATGAGTGACTTTATACTTAAAGACAAAATGTGAAATGATTATATCCGTGATAGGGTTGGTGTAGCTCCTGTGACGAACAAAATTAGAGAAAGTCGTCTTAGATGGTTTGGTCACATTAAGCTTCAACCATCTGATGATTCGAATAAGAGAGTAGATATTTTAGATTCGACTTATGCTAAGAAATTAAGAAAGGCTATGTTAAGAAAGGCTGAGGTAGACTTAGGAAGACTTGGGCTTATTATATAAAAAATGATCTTAATTTATTAGAACTAAATGAAAATATGACACTAATAGGACACAATGAAGAAAAAGGATTCATGTAGCCGACCCCAAGTAGTGGGATTAAGGGTTAGCAGTTGTTATTTTTTTTTAACTTTTATTAATTCAATTGATTAATATTTAATAATTAATTAATATTTATACCCAATTTCATCATCTCACTCGAGATTTGAGATGTTGCACTAATCTCAATGCATTTCATACAAAAAAATATTCACGCTCAAATTAAAATTCATTAGAACTCCAATTTCAACAAACTTATCGTCGAACCAGCCTACTCGACAAAAAAAAAAACTAATGACACCAAAATTGGCCCAGTCTGAATTAAATGGAACCCGGATTAAACCACTTTTAGAAGCTTAAATACGTAATTAGAATGTTAAATGGATTTCAAATCTAATAAGATTATAATCAAATCATGTGTCTTAGTGATACAAATCAAATAACCCCTTGAATGTATGTATATATGCATGAATGTATGTATGTATATATGTATGCATGCTTGAATGTATGCGTGAATGTATGCATGCATGGATGTATGTATGCATGGATGTAGCTGAGTATGTATGTATGCATGGATGTATGGATGGATGGATGGATGGATGTGGTATGTATGGATGTTTGGGTGTATGGATGAATGTATGAATGTATGAATGTATGAATGTATGTATGGATGTGCGCATGTATGTATTTATGTATGTATGTATGTGTGTGGATGTATGCATGGTTGTATGAATGGATGTATGATGTATGGATGGATGTATGTATGCATGGATATATGTATGTATACATGTATTTATGCATTAGATGTAAGTACGCATGTATGTACGCATGTATGTACGCATGGATGGATGGATTGATACATGTGTGCATGCATGCACGCTTGTGTATATATACATGTCTCTATGTATGCATGCATGTGTGCATGCATGTATATATCTATAAGCATGTATGAATATACATATTGATGTGTGTATGCATGCATCCATGTCTTTATGGATAGTGTGGGCGGGTGAACATTGAAAGACAACCATATTGGTGCCAAGTTAACAACATTTCAGCGACTAGATCCAAGGACATCTGGAGTTGAATTAAACTAATTTTTAGCACCATTGTGTTTATTTTTATGAAATGGTAAGTTTGAATATAAATTTATTAAAAGTAAATTAGGCATATCTAATTAAATATTCTAGCATTTTAAAATCAAAATATTATATCAAATTTTATATTTACTATAACGAAACTTGCTAATGAAATCACCACTTCTGTATAACAAAGTTTAATTTAGAGAAAACATTTATTGGGCCATAATATATTAGCCCCAAGGATCAAAATATTATATCAAATTTTATATTTACTATAATTAATCTTGCTAATGAAATCGCCACTTCTATATAACAAAGTTTAATTTAGAGAAAACATTTGTTGGACCATAATATATTAGCCCCAAGAAAAAAACCTAAGTTTCACATCTCAAGCCCAAATATCAAAGAAGTTATAAAACTGGAATGGAAAGGTGTAAGCATTGCTGTTTAATTCAATTAACCACAGTTTGATTTTTAATCCTTGGTTCATAGTTGCCATTAACATAAACTTCAAGAGTTTATTTATTGTTTTTTCTGATGAAGACAAATAAATAAATAATAGTTTTAAGTCTTCCCGCAGTAAGGAAAAGAAAATCATGCGGAAACCTACTATAACATAACATGTGCTACGATGGCAAGTTGGATCACAAGAACAAGTTCATTTATCCACAACATCCCCATGACAATTTAAAACCATCCTAACCCATTTAATGTTAGGATACCCCATGTCCTAACTGCAATTTTAGATGGGGAATTTACATACATACCGCCCAATTGCTATGTATTTACACATCTAACACCTAAAACTTACTTTTTACATTTATACCACCCAAACCTTTTCCATCACATAAAAAATACCATTCTTTTAAATTTTAAAAAGAGAAATAGAGTTTTCATACATAGGTAAGGTGGCATACATGTGAATACGGAAGTTTACATGTTAGAAATGTAAATAAATAGGAATCAAGTGGTCTGTACGTAAATCTTCCTTTTTTCCCCAACTGTTAAAAAATAAAAAATATAAAACAAAAAATGCAATGAAAATAACTGAATAAATTAAAAAATCTTCCAATTGCATTGCAGGCATCAACACTCCACTGAAAGCACGCATAAACGTCGTTCCTCAACATGGACACAAAACTATACACCTCGCTGCTCGCCAAGCAACGCAGATAAAGAAAAGCCACATTATTTATCATCAACAAATCAGCCCTTACAAGAAAACAAATTTAAGCGGGCGGGGGCGCTAAGAACAGCAGATAACCTAAAGAATACCGTCTGGCCTTCTGAAACCAGCAATAAAACTTCATCATCTCTGAGAGGGCTCCAAAGTCCTCACATTTGTGCCTGAAATAGCTTCTAGCCTGTCCTTGGTTATTTCCACAAAATGACCAATCATTTCGTGGAACATCTTCAGACCAGACAAGGGTAAGATGATAGATGAGCGATCTGGGCCAGCTACCTGCACTAAAATTAATCTCATTGTATTTTGTTTTCTGTTATATTTGTAGAATTTTTTTTTAGCTTCTCAACAAGCAGGAGGGAATATTTTTTAAAAGAGAAAAGTGTCGAAATAATCCAACTACTCATTGTATAGTCCAAAAGTCTATAAAAATGTCAATTTAGTCCTCAAACTCTTTTAACATAGAGTGAGATAGTCCCAACAGGACTATTTCAGCACCAACTTAAGGAATCTGATGATTGATTCATGAAACAATCAGGGGATTATTTTGACACTTCACTCCTTTTGAAAATAAAATTGATAAAGGAAAATATCTTTTCAGGTGACGAGGTATTCATTAGAATGGAACAAGACAACCACAAACTAACGCAAATATTTGTATTGAGAACACCTCCATTTTAATTAGGATACATTCATTACATGAGGGGTAGTAGATAGGCATATTAGTTTATACAATGGATGGCTTGCCTCTTTAGTAGGTGTCTTTGACAATATTACTTATGGTAACATGTAGGATTCAGTTTATTACGATATAGTAAATCCTTTCAGACCAGATTTAATGAATCCTAAGGGTGTTGAATCGAAGTAGTGTTTGAATCGGCAATGCTTTTCTTTCATCTGATTTCATCCTACCAAAGCATTTGGCTACTACATAATACAGAAGTTAAAAATTAGAAGACAATAAGAATACTTACATAAAAGGATTAAGCTACAGGATTACTTACCTAATTAGTTGAACAAGTAATTAATAATTAACTTATAATTAATGTTAATTAAGGCAAAATTAAACTACTTTACCCGACTGAAATTAATATGTATAAATATAGGTCCTTTATTAAACATAAATAGTAATTCGTTAATAATGAAAACTATAACATTGGGCATACATATTATGATTAGAATAATTACTACTCAGTCAAATACTGATATTGACTACTTAATTTATATGATTAGAATAATTACTACTCAGTCAAATACTGACATTGCTTAATTTCCCAAATACATAGATTAGCTGATTAACTAATTCATGGATCAAAAATAATAGTAAAATCCTTTATTTAATGATTATTCATTCATACATCTAATTAATGTCCAAATAGGCTAATGATAATTTAATTAAAATTAGCAAGGCTATTTCAAAATTTGCCAATCAATTAGCATAACTAAAATAGTTAAAAAATATGTTAATTTAAGGCACAATTATGCAATAATTAGACTACTTAATGCTTAAATGGACTACGGATTAAGTGCTTAATTAAATAAATGTAAAATATATTAATTAATTATTTATCAGATGTGATTACTAATTACATATTTAAATATTTAATTTAGGTTGTGGTTATGCTTAAATAAACCTAATTAATATTTAAATGAACAAAAAGATTAAGTATGCTTAATTAGGCAAATTAAAACATTAGCCAAATAACTACTTAAAGAAATTAATTATTAATACACGTTAATTTATGATTAAAATATAGTTTTATTAGGTTAGCTTACTCTAAAATGGATTAATTAAACTTGATTAATTTAACAAATATCTATAAATCAATCAACTATAATTGGACCAATGTAATTAGTAATTATTTAATAAAAATATACATAGTTTAGAACATAATTAAGATTTAAAATGAAAGCTGTTATTAAATATAATTATAAATTAAATTACGAGTAAATAACTAGTAATTAATTAACAATTATAATATGTTAATTTAAGACTACTATAATTAATTAGGGTAAATAATTAATCAGGTTATCTAATTTTTTAATGGATTAATTAGACTTATATAGGCTAACAGATTAGAGATTAGGTAATTTAAGTTAGTTAATTAGTATATAATTTAAGTTAGTTAATTAGTAATTTTTAATAGTATAGCTGATAGTGGAAACAGTTCTTAAATGTTCTAATGAGTTAATGCCTCGTTGGTTGGTAAAATCTCAGAAGTTGCCAAAGTTATCATTAGATTGATCTCGCCTAGATCATCTATGCTTTGGCACTAAACTTTCCACTAAAAAAAAGCTTATTATGGAAAAACAAATTAACTAGCCAAATAGTTTGTAATTATTCATAATTAAAGTTTTAATAGTAAATCAGCCTTAAAAAGCATTAATTACACCAAAACTACAAATTAATATATTAGTAATTACAATGGAAAGGTAAATCCTTAAATCCTCTAATCCTTAACCTTTGGCATGGTTGGATTCAAGAATAGATTGGATAATGCTAAAAAATGTTAAAGAATATATTACCACATAAACATAAGAAATGAATAAGATAACTAGTCCTGTACCTCTGATATCCTCAAGAAATGGCCCCTGTTGTTGCTTCCCAAATCAAAGAAGAACCTCTTTTGATCTGCTCGAATGACTTTGGAGAGTCCTATGCTCCCTCCGTCATCTTGTGGAGGGAGCTGATCAACGAGACCATCAAGACTCAATTCGGATACAGGAACTGGGAGACTACTGTGACCTGAACCAGATATGAATCCAGCTCCCACATCATCTGAAAGTCCTGGTAGGTGCTCTGAAGATTCCACATTTTGCTGCGACGGTTCGAAGAATTCATGGAAAAATGAAAGAAATACTTTGAAGCAATAAAGGTAAACTGAGTTATTTCAGATAACTTAGCAAAACCTGATTAGCTACGAAGAATCGTGATGCTTCTTCATTGATCTCCAGTAAAATATTCCTGAATGCTGCCCATCCCTCCTCACCAGAGCTTCCAGCTGGTACAATAATTGTACTACGATTTCGATTAACTGATGCTTCTGAAACCTATTGAATGAGCTCCTCTATTAAACCTTCATAATATATAAGAAAATCCACACCATATTGATGATAACATTGTATTCGTACCATTCAAGAAGGTTAATATTTGAAATATTTAAATAGAACATCTCTTACACTAGCATGAGACCAAGATCTCTTATTTTGATAACCTGTATTTATCCAAATTTTTCTTACATAACTTATTATTGGCTAGTATTCACGAAATTGATAAAATTTTGCGAGGCTGAAATTCTAATTGTAATAAATAAATTATTACTGTTGTTGATTCTGAGCACTTTGACTTCTTGTTGGTTTCTTTGGGTCTATTACTCGTAATATTATTGTTTGGGTTATGATTCTCATGCTAATTATTCACATTTAAAAGGAAAGTCAAGTGAATCATAAGATGTCTTGCATGATTTACATACATCGGATTGTTTGGGTTATATAAGGAAACCCTTATCCTAAATCATCCAAAATCAAACTGGGTAATAAAGCTTATGATTGCATCATCGTGTCTATTAAAAATAGAATTGATAAATAGGTTAATAAAAAGATTTAATGAAATATATCATTTAAAAAAGATCAGCTAAGTTATGGTTCGAGAAAAAGACTATTTATCATGAGGTTTACAATTATATTCCTATATTTGATGGTGTAAGATTAACAAGAACTGGGTGAAACTCTCAACAATACTTGGTTGAAAACCTTACTACAATAAAGAGTTCCTGCAATCCAATCAGTCATATTCCTATCAATATTTAAGTTCTTAAAATCTTGCGCCTGCCTCTCAATCCTTGAATCTTGCACTTCAGTCCAACATCATTCCTAAAAAAAATAAATAAATAAATAAAATAAAAACTCTAACATCAATCCTTCTTTGAAGTATGAAATTCTCGTTGGAACTCAGGTTTTAAACAATAGTTCTTCCCAAATTTGCTTCCAAGACAACTACAGATCAATCCAGCCCCTTGCGGATTAAGGAATGCAACACAGTGGCGGCACCATAATATGAGAGGGAAAAAACTAGAATCAGCAGCAAATGGAATGGTTGAAGTAGACGGAGCTGTGGAATTCTTCACAATATTTAAAAAAAAAAAAAAAAAGGTGGGGGTGCGGAGGGGAAAGAGAGAGAAAAGAGAATCTGATTAAACTTATTTCACAACTTGTAAACAGCTAGAAGTCATCTTGATTATGTCATCTTGATTATGTATAGAATACATATATCAACTTGTAAACAGCTAGAAGTCATCTTGATTATGTATAGAATACATATACCGCTCTGAATATTATAGCACGTTGTCACGGAAAAAAAAGTCCCACATCGACTAGGTGTTTGGCCGAAAAACAGTATTTAAGTCCTGGGCTGCCCACCACCCCAAAGAGCTCTTTTGGGAGATGATAAGTAGTATCAGAGCCGATTACTGTCTGTCAGGTGTGTGGACTCTCCATGGTCCAGTGGGAACCTCGGTGGAGTCAATCTGTGACGAGTGTGTCACGTGATTGGGTGGAGGAGAATATCACGGACAAAAAGTCTCACATCGGCTAGGTGTAGAGCCGAAAAACAGTATTTAAGTCCTGGGCTGCCCACCACCCTTAAGAGCTCTTTTGGGAGGTGACAATAAGGAGAAAATAAGACTTAAAAAAATTAACTTACAGGTAAGCGCTAACTAAAAATTGTTGAGTAAATTATCAACACTAACAAGAGGCCAGTTAAAAAAATAAAAATACATTAAAAACCTCTAACTTGACCTCATATCAAAATATATTTAGGAAACCCATTCACAATAAGACAATAATGAAATTTGCTCCTAGGGAATGACTTTGATCCAAATATGTTCAATTCATATCTTTATGATCTTCACCAATTCCTTGATCACCACATCCTAATGAATAAAATTTTGCAATAACATGCTTTGTTTTTTTATAATGAATATTATTCTTGGACAAACAAAATGTATCATGTTGTTGTGGTTAATAAAACTACCACAGACTACAAATATAATCTCAAACTAATATTGTTTGCAAACTTTAAACACAAATCAGTAGTGAACTTTCAAAATCCACATTCACTACAACATCAAAATTTGCATGCCCTTTAACTATACCTCATGTGAAGATATACATGCAAATCTAAAACCCAATCCACATTTTCCTTTGATATACCTAAGAATCCATTTCCAAGCCTCCCAATGATCCTTACTATGATAAATAAAATCATAACAAACATAATATTTCCAACAGTATTTTGGTAAGCAAACCACAACATGTACATCCTCTCATCATCATCTTCCAGTAACTAATCTTTGCATAGCTTCATATATTGAGCCATAGGGCTTAGAACAACTTTTGAGTCTTTCATTTCAAATCTCTCAAGTAATTTTTTTTTTCAAGTAGAACTTCAGAACATAAATAGTTCTTAGAAAGAATCTTCTTTTTGGGACCCAAGACTTAAGTGGCCCAAGTCTCCTTTGCCTTAATTGGGCTATTAGTTGAAATAGATGCACTCATCAAGCCACCAATAATTGTTATTCCAAATAAATAATAAAATCCAATCATTCATGACTCCTTTTAGACAACAATGAACCTTTGCCACACTTAGGATTTCATTTTCACTCTTGAATTCATATCCAGATTTATCAAGGTCTCCTCCTAGTAAATTTAAACTTCGCATGAGCTCAATTACACACCTCATTTCTTCAATTTTCCTTTCATTGCTATCAAACATCCTGTTTCTTGCCAATCTTGTTGATCTAGCAAGTCCCCTTGTTCCTAAGCATCACCCAAAGACCATCCAAATGTTGTAATAATTTGAACTAAGAATTGTTTAGGCACAAATGGAAAAAACATTTAGAATAAATAGTCCTATATTTGCTAGACATGGATTATGTAAAAATGAACTCCTCTGCATTTTAATATCCCTCACCAGCAACTTTAATTTATCCATATTCCTCTACTCATTCAAGCATCTTTATCCTTCTTTCTGGACACATCTTCTTGAATTAGCCTTCCCAGTAACAAATAAAGCATTTCTGGACACATCTTCTTGAATTAGCCTTCCCAGTTACAAATAAAGCAATTCCTCTTAAACGTTGATTAGCTCTGGCTTGGTGCTTATTATTGAAATTAAGCTTCTTATTTTTTTCCCCAAACCACAAAATCATCTCACCAATTTTTTTCTTTCTTTCTTTGTCCACTATTTCGCAATCCTTTAAAATTGCTGATTTCATTTCTGCCAGCATTATAGGTCTTCATCCCTGATTTTGGCTTCAACGCTTTTAAGATCCATCATGATTTTGCTAAAGTCAACCAAATGCTTCTGGACTTATTTGGAATTTATCCATTTGCGAGAGATGCAGCTGGCCTTTAAGAGATCTCTTTGAGCATAAAGGCTTGAGTTCCACCAAATTCTAATGGCCGATTGTTTTTCCAGGACTTCTTGCAAAACTTCAACTCCAACACCAAATAGTGTTGTGGGCTTTATTGAAAATATCTCCCCAAAGTTCTGCATCAACTGATTGTAATGCCTCTTCCAACAATGCCAAGGAGAACAGCAAAAGCCTTCAATTTTAGTCTCCAAATACTAAAATCATTTTTCCCTATGAAATTTCTGATCTCCATTCTCGTCAACACCATCAAAACTTCAATTCCCATGCTCTTATAAACATTTAAAGAACAATAATGGACATGTGAAGAATACATTTCAACCTAGCTGAAATTTAGTGTTTCGCCATTTTGCTTATTAGTCTTGTTCTTCCCAAAATTTAAGTTCTTGACCTTGCACTTCACCTCCAACCTCATTTTGGTTCAACTTTTTATTGAGAAGCAATTTATTGACAACAATTTTACCCATAATTCACTTTAATGGCCGCAATCAATCATCCCATTCCCTTGCAGAGTGTAGACAACATCACAGCAGATAAAGTAGGCGGCGACAGCAAACTCACACAACATGAGAAAAAACAAAAATCAGCTACAAACAGAATAGATGAGCAAGCACAAACAGTGGATTTTTTCTGTTTCAAACAAGGAAAAGAGAGGCAAGGAAAAAGGGGGAGAAGAGAGAAAACATGATTAGAAATTCTCGGAACTTATAAACAACTACAAGTTAGCCCTGGCATGGATTAAAAAAACAGTTGCATACAAATTGAAGTGCTCTTCAATATGAGGAGCCCAAACACACAAATCCCCCCTAATTTACAAACTTACCAAATATATCTAGCTTAAATTAGAAAAGGAATAAGAAATAAAAGATAAAGAAACATAAATAGGAAAGGAATAAACACAAATCAAGAGAACTCCAAATTGATCTCCAATCAAATCTCTCATAAGATCTTTGATAGCTAGCCGGTTCATGCTAAAAAACACCACTTGAAACTTCTCGGGTTTCCACACTCCCCCTCGAGTTAGGTCATAAATGTTATAGAGACCAAGCTTGATATTGAACTCTGAGAAGGTGCTTAAAGGAAGAGCTTTGGCGGAGACATCAATAACTTGGTGTGTCGGGATGTAGCTTAGTTGTCTAATTCCCCCCATGAATCTTCTTAGAGATGAAGTGTCTATCAACTTCAATATGATTGGTCATATCATGATGCATAAAAATCTTGGCAATACTAATACTTGTTTGACTATCACAAACATATGTATAGGCTTATTGAACGTACATCCACATTTCCTTAATAATTTTTTAATCTAGATTGCTTCACAAGTTCCCAAGGCAAGTGCCATATAATCTGATACTGCACTACTTCGAGAAACATTTGTTTGCTTCTTAATTCTCCAAGTAACCAAGTTTTCTCATACATATGAGCAGTAGCTTGTGAATTTTTTGTCTGTAAATTCCCCAGCCCAACTAGCATCAGTGTAGACTTCCACCTCTCTATTTCTGATTTTCTCAAAATTTAATCCATAATCAGGAGTCTTTTGAGAAACCTCAAAATCATATATATCATTTCCAAATGTTCTTCATTTGGGTTATTCATTTATTGGCTTACAGTATTGACAGA